AACAGTCAATATTTGTTACCACGTGGCTTTCCTGTAGCTTCAAACATAATTTACTAATTATTTGTTAGGAATATTACCCGGAAAACACTTGAGACATATTGTTACAACACAGCAAGTGTTATTGGTATAAAAGCAAATATTTTGTTTATGCAATTTATGACTTACTTTTCTATTTAAATTGTCAATTGCTGTGGGCTGAAATGGAAATATCAAATGGCAGCTGTGCACTTATAGGAAAATCCACATTATTCCTCTTCTGTTTTCACAGTATAAAATTAATGAAATGCACACTCATGGAGATAATTTTATTTCCGAGAGATATAAAACCTATATTCAAGTGTAAATATTACAAACACAGAACACAGAAGCGCTATTTCGTTTCATGTAAAAACAAAAGTTTATTTTAGAAAAACCTAAAGTTATAATTGAAACTTAAATATTAGGATTGAAATTTCTAGAGAATAAAGTACTTAAATAAGAGTGTGCTCTTTATTCTTGATGTTACATTGGCTTAAAATCAGAAAAGTGGTTTCTATGTCCGACCAATTGTCTCTGTCTGAAATTAGTTTGATAGTTAAGTGGTTGTAAAGATGCCGTAGCGGTTTACAGTTTCGGCTCCATCATAATATTATGAAATACTTGCGTCTACCGTCTACATTAATTTCAATGTAATCGAACTATGGAAGTTTTCAGATGCGCCGCGAAAAGTTGCCACCCCCGCCGCCATTGTTGCCCATGCCACCACCATTACCACCTCCGTTTCCGCCACCGTTTGGTCCACTGGCTCCACCCCGGGTCTTTCCGTCGTAGAACAGCTCAATGTAGCGCGAACCCATCTGCTCTCGGTGTCGCTTCATGGCCACCTGTGAGTCCTCGTAGGTGTCGAAGTAGGCATCAGCAGTTCCACTGTGCAGACCCTTTTTGTTGTAGTTGATGCGCACATTAGCGGGCCGAATGGGTTCGAAAAACTGAAATTATATTTATTTTTTAGTATTCAATTTAAAACAATATATATATCAGCAGGTTGTTTAATTTTTCCAAAACCTTAAACTCACCTTAAAGACGTCATTTTCAAAGGAAGTGTACGGAAGTCCTCGCATATGGATTGTATAATGCTCGACATCATTGCCCCGACCTCCGCCAATGGGGCCGAAGTTGCCACCACCTCCAACGGAGTTGCCTCCGCCAAAGTTTGAACCATTGTTGAAGCCGCCGCCCCCGCCCATGTTGTTGCCTCCTCCAAAGTTTGAGCCGCCGTTTCCATTATTGTTGTTACCTCCAAAGTTACCGAACCCAGAGTTTCCAAAGTTGCCGCTGTTGTTGTTGTTGCGACCGCCGCCGATCGGACCGAAATTGCCGCCGCCAGTTGACGAGCCGAAGTTGCCGCCGTTATTGAAGCCCCCTCCGCTATTGTTGCCAAAATTGGAGCCACCATTGTTACCAAAATTATTGCCGCCTCCTTGAGAATCAAAGTGGTTTCCACTGTTGAAGCCTCCGCCGCCGTTGTTGTTGCCGCCGAAGTTTCCGCCTCCGTTGTTGCCGAAGTTTCCAAAGTTTCCACCGTTACCACCGCCTCCGTTGTTGCCGAAGTTTCCGGAGTTTCCTCCACCACCGGCGTTATTGTTTCCGCCACCAAAGTTGCCGAAATTGCTGGGCCCAGAGTTATTCCCGAAATTGCCACTATTTCCACCTTGGTTGTTTCCGAAATTGCCGGAGTTCATTAAGCTTGGCAGGTTGTTGAAGCCCAACATGTTGTTAGCACCAACACCGAAGTTGCCATTGTTGCCCCAATCTTTTAGTGGAAAAAGAAAAATAAAATAGTAGAAATGATCGATAAAGCGGAAATAATAGAAGTTAGCAGGATATATGTATTGTATTAGTTATATTATTATGATATGAGTAATAATACTTATTAAACATTGATTCCTATAAGCAAAACAAATAACTATTTAATTAAAACAATGAACATTTTTTGAAGATTTGTAGATTAACTATCTGGAGATCTTAAATTATAGGTACTGAGATATATTTTAAAAAAATCTTTAGTTATTTATAACTAATAACTAGTCTTACCGTTGCGACCTCCGTTAAAATCGTTGCCACCACGATTGGCTCCTCGATCACGAATATCATAAGGTCCTGGACGTCCTCCGACTCCGCCACCGGCACCTGTGGCCCTCTTCATTTCAGCAATTGAGCTACGGAATATCTCAATATACCTAGATGAATTAAAGCAGAAAAGATGTATTTTAAAAGTTGCAATTTAAATATGCTAGGGTCGGTGGTGTTTTCTTTTGATGTTTTACTATTTCATATCACAATATAAAAAATAAAATCGAAATGAGACATATACAAAAATATCGGTTATAAAGACTAATGAAAACAACTCTGTTCAAGGTTATATAATTTTAGAGTAAGCACATGCTGGCGCTTTAACAAGTATTAAGAGCCCCACCAGACCCGTAGCTATGGGAAAATATTGCTATATTTCTAATGTGTTTGTCGGTGACTGAAATAGAAATTATTTATGATCAAAATAGTTTTGTATTTAGTGAATAATCTATGGGAAATTGGTGTTGTATTTTGTCTTGTGTGTTTCAACAAGTTCACAATTGATTACCACTTTATATTATAATTTCAGCTGTTTGGTTGTAGAAGATATGATGAATTAGAAACCCACCTGTGCCCAATTTTTTCCCGATTTCGGCCCAAGGCTTGCTCAGTGTCGTCCTGGCTTTCGAACTGAACAAAAGCTTCCCCAGTTGCACGACCCCTTCTGTCCATAACAAAAAGTATGCCCTCCCGATCCGTTTTGATTTCCAACCCTGCCCATGACGATAACCAACAAAGATTTATACAAATATATAGATTTCATATATATACATTATGCAAGGTTAAGCTTAGAAAGAGAAACAGCAATAAAGAGGTTGATAAATGGTATAGTTTAGTTCTTGCATCGCAGAACTTTAGCAGGCTCACGGAACCAGCAACAGTTGGTTAAATAAAAAGTGTGTTGCAGTCGAAACACGATCCGCAAACAAGATGATAATGTTGCAATCGAGATTCCCCGACCACAATGTATTACAAAACTCAGCTCCTGTAACTCGTTGACGTGGGAGGTTCAGTTTGAAAAGGGTGAATTATGATCGCTGATTTAACCAAGTAAACTGGGTTATGTGACCAATGAAATAATGTTTTATCGGACAAGCGGACGTGACCGCGTCAACTCTCAGCCGTTGACTTTGGAAGGAGCTGCGTGGACCGCCGAACCCATTACACAAATGCAAGGGCCTGCAATTCGTTGCCCGAAAATATGTACTGTTTAGCATGTGTAATTGAATGAAAGGTGTAGATGAAAGGGGACCGTAGGCCATATCTTAACGAAGTGCAAATGGAAATACATGCGGTCAACCACTGTCTTTGCTCCTTGTGCCTATTAATATGAAATGGGGGTCAGAGCTTGGACACTCACCGGAGAAGAATTCCTCGATCTGCTGCTCGGTGACGGCATACGGTAGACCCCGAAGCTTCACAACGAAGGCAGTGCCGTGACCGCTGATCTTCCGCATGGCTTCCTTGGCCTCCTTGGGCGTAGCTGTGAAGACTGAAGACATAAAATAGATATGAGAAAAACTGTACAAGCAAACACTTTTTTATTTTGCCTATAGGTCAAGTTATCTGTAGAAGCCCCTAAATGTTAAATGCAGAAACAATTAAAAAAAATACAAACGAAAACGGCAACTCCTGAAACCGATCTATATGTTGTTCAGATATTCACATATTGTTCTATAGCATTGATAAATACATTTAGGCCTCCAACAAACAGAAGTCAAATAAAAGCAAACAAAAATATTTGGGTTTTTAAGTTGTAAACTGTAGATTGAACTAACTATAAAATGAATGAAACTCAAGCTTTTATCAAAGATAGACCAAGTCAATGATTTAGGCAAACTATTTAAAAAGTGCAGATAAGTTCTCTTCACTTCATTGTAGAACTATTGACAAAAGACAGCCTGTGGCGAGAGTAATACAAAAAGTTAATATTTAAGTAAAGGCAGATTGTGGCTAATATATGCCTATAATTGTTAGCCCTACTGCCATGGCTTATTTCATGTACAGTCAACCCTCGTGTGTGTGTGGCAAACAAACCCTCAATGTAGCGGTGGCCCATGCTGGCCTTGTTCAGCTTGCGCGCCTCCTCAACGTCCTCCTGGGTGGCCACCTCCACGTACGCCTCGCCGGTGTTCTTGCCGTCCACGCGACTGGTGACCAGATGGATGCCCGCCGAGCCGTTGGTCACGTTCACGTTCTCCAGGAAGTCGAGGATCTCCTTGTGCGTGGCGGACCAGGGAAGACCGCGCAGCCGGACGAACTTGGGGCTCTCGCCGACATTCTCGATCTTGACGCCGCCGTCCCCATCGTACTGGTCGTCGTCGTCCTGCTGCTGGCTGCTGTCGTCGTTGAAGTTCTCGTTATTGCCCTGCTGGCCGTAGTTGAACTGCACGTCTGCGTTTGCCATTTTTCGCTCGCTCTTTGTCTGCGAATTGCGATAAACCGGATGTATCAGATATCGGATGTGGGTGGGGAATAGTTTGTTCGATTAGTTGACAAGTTCCGAGTAATGTAAACTGTGTAAGAACAATTTTTTCAACCGGTGATTCTTGAGTGCGACGCTTGCTTCCTTTTTTTTTTGCACCGCGTACGCCATCTTGATTTCTAGTCACCCCTAATCGCGCATGTCAATTCGCACGTCTCGTACGCAATATATACATTCGGAAAAGCTGCACTTGATGGCGGTTCGATGGGATTACCTTTTCCTGCACTGCTGCAACTTGTTATATCTTCTGTGCTTTATCCGGATCGGCTATAACACACGATTTTTCAGAGAGTTTGGTTTTGGAGAGCACGCGTCGAGGTGGTAGAGATGGTTAATCAGCGGTGGCACTCTTTTTATCGATTGTTTGCTGCGACTATCGGTGACAAGTGTTTGGTATGCCAGTGCTACCGGATCCTGTCATTCTGCAGTTGCCTATCCCTGGCTCACCAGTGTTGCCCATCGTCTCTCAGATCTGTCATACCCGTGTGAAAAGTAGCAAGAACAAGAAAAGTGAGTCGAGCTGTTACTTAACCAAATTTTTGCAATTAAACAGCATTTTTCCGCCCCAAAACGCAGCCATGTTGAGCATCACGGCCCGCAACCTGGCATCTGCCCTCCGCGGCAGCCTCGTCGGCACATCGTCGCGCGTGGCCGCCGTGCGCTGCCTGCACGGAACCGAGGAATCGGCTGAGGAGTTCGACAAGCGCTACGAGAAGTACTTCAGCCGCGATGGCATCGACGGCTGGGAGATCCGCAAGGGCATGAACGACCTGCTGGGCATGGATCTGGTGCCCAGCCCCAAGATCATCGAGGCCGGTCTGCGCGCCACTCGTCGCGTCAACGACATCGCCCTGGCCATCAGGTGGCTGGAGGGATGCAAGGACAAGTGCGGTGACCAGAAGGCCACCCTCTATCCCTACTTGCTGGAGAAGATCACTCCCACGCTGCAGGAGCTGGGCATCCCAACCATCGAGGAGCTGGGCTACGACAAGCCCGAGTTGGCCCTGAAGTCCGTGTACGATGCCTAAGCGGAGCACTCTGCTGGACTAGTTTAAACACACTACACACACTATAATACACACCGTACAGCGACACTAGCTACCCATACATATATGGTGCGGATGAACATGTTGTTGGATTAATAATAAATGGAGATTGGAGTAAGGCTACCACACCAGCACTCGGTTGTTTCCCTCCCTTGGTTACATAACACCCAGGTTAGGGAACTGCATTCCGGTAGAGATAAACAAAGCAATTGAAAACAAATTCGTTTATTATCCGTCTACTTTTTCCATTTGCTAAGTAGCTCGGCTGCCTTGTCCAGGTTCTCCTGCTTCTTGATAAAGCAGTACCGCACAAAGTCCTCGCCCAAATGCTTGTTCGGCTCGCTGTAGAACGCACTGGGCGGAATGCCCTGCAGGCCCATGTTCTTGGTCATCCACTTGGTGAACTTGTAGTCACGGTGCTTGTCAGGCTCGGAGCTCAGATCCACTTTGTCCGTCAGTGGCGACCAGTCGGCCAGCATAAAGTAGCCGCCCTCAGGAATGGTGGGGCGCATGCCGGCCTCGGACAAGAACTTGGCCATGAAGTCCCGCTTCTGCTTGAGTTCGCGTGGCAGGCTGAGGAAGTAGCTCTCTGGCTTGCCTAGACGTTCCAGCTCCACCTCAAAGCTGCGCGCCACTCCCTCCTGCAGAGGCGTGGGACAGGTGTACACCGAGTTCTGGTGCACCATCTGCAGGTTGCGGATGAGCTGGGCTGGTCCGTAGGCCCATCCGATCTTCCAACCGGTCACGGAGAAGGTCTTGCCCGCTGATCCCAAAGTGATGGTGCGGTCCCACATGCCCGGCAGCGTGCAAATGCGGATGTGCTCCGCTCCGTCGAAGACCAGCCACTCGTACACCTCATCCGAGACGCAAAGCACGTTCCACTTGCGGCACAGCTCGGCAATCCGCTCCAGTTCCTGTCGATTGAAGACCTTGCCAATGGGATTGTGAGGTGTATTCAGGATGATCATCTTGGTTTTCGAGTTAAACAATCCCTCGAATTCAGCATCGTCCAGCACCCAGTCCGCGGAGCTTATGGGACACTCCGCCTTGCGCTACAAATTGGACATTTGAATGGGGGAACTATTCTTGGTTATCTGTGGGACTTCTTACCAATTTGAGGGGAACAAAGCGGGGCACTCCGCCGGCCATCTTTACCATAGGCTCGTAGCAGTCGAAGAAGGGTTCTATGATGATCACCTCATCGCCAACGTCAACATGTCCCATGATGGTGGAGTAGAGCGCCTCGTAGGCGCCGGAGGTGATCAGGATGTCACTGAGGGGATTCAGTTCCTTACCGACCAGACCGCTGTACAGCTTTGAAAGGGCATTGACCAGGCGGACATGCCCATAGCCACGAGTGTACTGATGCAGGAGCGGATTCTCGTCCTTGGCAATGTCCGCCAACGAGTGGGTCACGTACTCAGGCGCGGCATCGTCGGGGAATCCCTGGCCCAGATTCAATGGTTTGTATTGCATGGCCAGGGCGATGTACTCGTTCCAGACGCTGGGCGTGCTGCCCTGCAGTCTCTTGGGCAGGTCGAACTTGTCCATGTTACTGGCGGTTTGCTGGTGGCGCTGGATTTGAAACCGGAACTGATCTCGCAAGCTTCTCTTGGCAGCGGATAGAGTTAATCCACAGCGGCGGAGCATCTGTAAAAAGGTGACTTTAGTATTGGAATGCTTCCGTTGCCTTATCACCGCGTGTCGGTTTATAGAGCGATAAGCACGCACTTTGCCTGTCTAGGTGCTTGTTGAATGATCTTAATTGTAACAATAAAATATCACTGGTTAAATGCAATTGTTGAAGTTAAATGCTGGAGCCCTGCAGTGCGCGGTGAGGTTGCATAATGACACTGAATTCTGATTAGACTAGCGGAATATCTATAAGCGAATATGATTTTGCTTGAAGCGCTCACACACACTTGCACACTGTAATATGCAAATAAACAAATACGTAGAAGGTACAATTGAAATTATAAATTACACAGAAATTCACCTAAAAACAGCTGCCATAAGCCAAAACACCGCTACCTGTTCGATGCTGATATAGATTTTCTAATTTGAAAACTACTGATAACGTTTTCCAATGAAAGTAAGTTTCATGATCATTTTTGGGTTACAGCCTTGACCTTGACTCTAAATCTCGTTGCTAAAAATTCGAGTAGATACGAACCATATTTTGTTCGTACTATGATATATTTACTTTATCTTTTAGAAACCTAAAAATGTATCAATACAACTGGAACTCACAAAGTAAACAATAAATTTATTATTTTTTTAGGCGGCGGGATAAGAAGTGTTGGAATGTGACCGAATATTGTGGGCACTGTTATCGATATGTCAAACCAGGGCTGTCGCTAATATCGCGATTTAAATAGTGGCACACACCGATAACAACCAGCTATCGAAATTCAAGTTCCTTACAAATAAGCGCGAAGATAAATTTCTTTTAAAACTAATGGTCAAAGTATTTACAAGTTCAAAAGGTATCATTTAACAATCCCACAAAAAACTAATTCGTACTCTTTCATTTTTCAAAAGTTTATTTATAAAAAATGCTTGTTAATGGTAGTAAATCAAGGGTGAAATCATCGTATAGCTAGTATAATTGACAAATTAATTGATTAACAACATATTAAGCATCAAAACATTTTACATATCTTTAAGTATAGAATTATCTGTTATGCTATAAAAAGAATTGAAGTTTGTTTTTGACCAATTTCGATTTAAAATGTTCGTTCTGCAGAGTTTTAACAAAGTAAAGCTACTAAACTTAAATCACAGATAACACTAAAGTGTTTGTTACGATATATGCATGTATATATATATGTGTCTGTTTCTATATATATATATATATGTCACTATATATGTGTGGTCAAATCGGTTGTTATAGGCCCGCTTTGCCTTCTTCTCATCTCGTACGATTCCTTTCCTTTGTGTGGAAATCATAGAACGTATAACTGACTTAAGGTTAAGTTAGAAAACTGCTAAGACTAACGAAATTGTGTGCTGCCCGTGTTATGTGGTTGGTTGTGTTGCAGTAATTTTTGCGGCCACATTCCATCTGTTGTTAAATGCAACAATTGGCTTAAGTACTACGAAACAAGAGGCTGGAGTCCTTATTCGGGTTAGGACTATATGTTAAAGTGATCCAATTATCTCCTCCTTCTCATCCCCGTCTGTTGTGAATGGCACACGTTTTGCGTAACGCGAATGGCAAAAACGAAACTGAGGTTGATGGGGCCGGTTTCGGGTTCAAATCCGATCAAGTTTTAAAGATTGCAAATTTTTTTTGTCCAAATTTCTTTTAGTTTCAAAGTTTTATAATTTTAAAATTATTGCTTTAGCCAGAAAGTACAATTTCTACTGAAGAAATCCCTACAAAATCCTTAGCAATTTTAAGTGGCAGGAACTTGTGAATTTGAGTAAATTTTTAGAACTCTAAATGGCATCATCTTTTGATCGGATTTTTAATTGAAAACCGGGTATCAATCCTTTCCCTTTCTCTTTTTGTGTTAATCCTGTGGATGAAGTATGGTTGTGTGATCTCTAAACGTGCACCTCCGGGCAGTCCTCGTCCTTGATCGATGTGTACTGCACCTTCTTGGCCACATTGTCGAACACCGGCGTGATCATGTACTTCAACTTGTCGCGGCTGACGTAAACGAGCGCCACCAGCAGTCCGAGCAGGATCATGCTAAGCACGATCAGCAGGAAGATCAGGGTGGCCGTGTGTCCGCTGATGTGGGCCTGCGGCTGGACAGACGCCTCAGCGCCCCCGTAGCGCTGCTCCTGCTCGGCGGTGTTCAGGATGGTGGCAGCGGCGGCAATAGCGTCCGCACACTGGCCCATGTCCATTTGGAGGAGGTGGACGGGCGAGGAGTCCACGCGGCCCGGCGAGTGGAAGCACATCAGACTGTCCTTGTTGCGCACCGTCACTCGGGTGCTGGGTATCCACGTGCGGAACGGGGCGATGCGGCAGTCGCAGACGAAGGGGTTTAGGTTGAAGTCCACGATCAGGTTAGCCGTGCGGTTGGGGCGATCCTCCAGCTCGTTGAGCACCCGCAGATCGCTGGGCTTCACGAAGCCGAACTTGTTGCGCTCCAGATCGAGGAAGCGCAGGTTGTTTAGGCAGCGCACCTCGAAGTTGAGGTCGCGCAGCTCGTTGTCGCCCAGGTGGAGGTCGCGCAGCGAGGGCAGATCGCAGAAGACGTTGCGGTCCTTGAAGTGCGTGATCTCGTTCTGCTCCAGATGCAGCTTCTGCAGCTTAACCAGTTGGCTGTTCACGAAGATGTCGTGCAGATCCTCGCTCAGCTGCGGCGAACTGTTGTCCTCGAAGGCATCGGTCAGGTGCAGACTCTGCAGGTTTATGAAGTTCGAGAAGACGCGCGGATGGTGGTGGTTCACCTCGTCGTCGAACCGCGAGATGCTCAGATTGTTGTGGTTAAGGATCAGGCGCTCCACGCGCGGCACATGGTGGTAGCTCTTGCCGCGAATCTCGCGGATGTGGTTGCTGCTCATGTCCACGATGCGCAGCTGCTTGTAGTCGTTGATGCTGCCGAAGACGTTCCACGGCAGCTCGGCGATGCGGTTGCCCGTGAAGATGAGCACCTCCACCTGGTCGGGCATGAACTCCAGCACACTGGTGTTCCGCAGTCCGGCGTTCGTGCAGTTCACCACGTACTGCGTCTCGCTCTCGTACAACTCCCTGCCGCAGCTGCAAGCCGCCGGGAAGTTGGGTCCGCAGGTGGACGAGCTCTCGCCCAGGACTCCTCCAGCTCCGAGCGCCAGGACCACGGTGGCGATGACCACGCCCAGGACCAGTCTCCTCAGTTCGGTGGGTGGCATGTCTCTATTGGGTGCCTGCAATCAATAGACAAAAATGCAATGTATTAAAGGCCTGTTATGTGTTAACTGGTAAATAAAATTAGTAAATCAAAGTATTTCATAGTCAATTTAAATATTTTTCGCTTTGATTATCATCCATTTTTATTTTAAAAATTATATCCATTTTAAACTTTTTTTATTATAAGCCCAGAAGGCAAATATATTTAACACGTCACACCTGGATGGTCATTGTTGTATATATCAGTATATTGTTTGTTAAATTTAACAGTTAAATTTAATTTTTACCACAAAAATTCAACAAGCAAGCGAATGTCCTTATTATTTAGGTCTAAAGATAATTCAATGAACTGCTTTTCAAAAGATCGTAGATGGTATCTTGCATCCTCAAATAGTAGGAAAATATTTGGGTCTAAATTGAATTTTGGTTCTTCTTAATTGTCTGTTAAGTATGTTTTATGTTTCGAAAGATCGTAGATGTTTCGGTTGTGGGCCAAAGCAAAATGGTTTATTGGTTTCTAATGCATTTTAAAGTGGTGCACAAGACGCAGAGACCGACTAAGTTTGAACAGTTGCCTGCGAGCCATGGTATCCCCATTTCCGGGGAACGAGCAGCTTATTTATGATCCACAAGTTTCAGATTTATGTACTTATGAAAACGGGAGCATTGTGCTTCAGGACCTCAACGGAGTATGTATCTCTCGTTGTTCTCAATCACCGGCCCACGCGGCGTATGGGTAATTTCTGTTCAGTGGCCAACTTTTCGGCAAAACAAACGCTTGAAGGGCACTCCGGAGAGGTAGTCATCCAACCGCGGCAAAAGCAGCAGCCGAAGGAGCCGCCGTAAACCTGGTTATTTTTCGGCTTTTATTGCTATTTATTTAGTGCCCAAGCCAGTGTGTGTGTGTGTTTATGAGTGAGTTTATTAAAGAATTTGGAGGTGTTGTGGGAAATGCTTAAGCCTGGTGTGCAAACACTTAGCTGAGAACCATTGGCGAACCATATTTTGTTTCTCTCCATGTGATTTTTATATACTCACACTAAAAATAAGAGGTATTTAAAATTTAATTCATCTGTTAGAGACAGAGGCTTAATTATATGCTTAACTCTTAGTACACATAAATACAATTACCAAAGGTTAAACTTTTGTTTAAATCAATGATTGATATTGAAAGAGAATTTACGGGAAAACAATAAAGGTCATCATCAATCAATCAATTTAGCAAATATGCGCAGCAAAAGGTTGGAAAACCAATTAGTACCATTTACGACTCAGAAATTTAAGCCGAACTGTTCGAACTGGCAGGTCGTTCGGCAAAGCTAATGGCTGGGCAACGCAGAAGGATCTAAAATAGAATCGCTACAACGGTGCCCCTATCCTGGTGTGAATTGGATATCCCCATTTGCCCATTCATCTCCTTGTTAAGAGGGTGCTTCCAATTAGAAGCTGCTGTTGTTGAACCGGGCCCTTGACCAAGGGTCACTCGATGCTAATGAGCGCATCAAATTCCTGCTCGGGAAAACTGAAAACTAACGGCGTTTTAATGGGCCCAGCAGGGCGCCACCACCATTTCTCTTCCGGAGGCCACTCAATTATCTCGATGGGCAATTGTGTTGTCCTATTTCGAGAGTCAGTTTATGATGGTTTGGTCTTTGTAAATGAAATTTACAAATTTGCAAAACATTTATCCACCGAAAATCGGGAATATTTACCCATTAGTTGGAGATAATTGGAGTGTGGAAATGGATACTGTTTCAGGTAATATTTAGTTTCTCCCCAGTATTTCCCCACTTTGTTTCTCGTTTAGCCAAGGTATGAATGTAAAAACAAAGGGCCTAAACAAAGCACAAAAGCTGCACAACACTTGAATCTGCTGTTTAACGTAAACGCTCGGTGTATGTGAGTCACTTCCGGTTTGTCGGACTAACAAGCAGCCACACCTTTCACCCCTCTTTCCACCTCTGAAGTTTTTTCTTTAATTTCAACTTTTATGTCCTTATAGTTGTTTGCTTTGTGTGTTTACTGTTGCAATAACATACACCTGCAAAGGGACCTCACCACCTCCCCATCTCCTTAGCTTACCCCATTTCAACTCCCTGAATACGCCCGCCCCATAATTCCCTCGGCCATTCCACTGCAATAATAAGGCAAACAAACAACATTTGTTCCTTCTTTACTGCACTCGGTTTGCTTCTCGGTGGAATTTATGCATGCGCGTAAAATAATAATAATACAGAAAAGAAACAGCAGCAACCAGCAACAACAAAGGCAAAATACTACAACAAAATAATGTGTATGTAGCCAGCGCAAGTAAAATAATAACAGCGAACATTTTTGTGTGTGTCTTTATACTCTTACGAAAGGTATAATTTATTTACAAAAAACTGTTCGAACTGAAACAAAAAGTATTATGGGAATGGGATATTCCTATGTTTAACAGCACAAAAGGAAGGTGGGACAAATGTCAGTCTATTTCTTCTTTATAAATTTTAACCACAGAAAGCCTTTATTGTTTGTACATGGAAATATTTTTACGCTTGTGAGGACGCCAGCATATTTACTTGACAATCAAATTTAGACTTTTTAATAAATTGTTTCCCATTCATTGTACAAATTCATAAGGCAGCAATTTCTTTGCACAGCGTTTACAATTTAACTTTAAAACCCAAATACTTTGAAAATTTGAGGCAATCTGCAAAGGTATTCTCAGATTCGGTTTTGCAAAACCAACATTACCGTTCTTGTTTGATAATATTTTTTCGAGTTTTTTACGTGCTTTGCATTCGCATGACTTCTGCTCTAATTCTCCACCCGACCCTCCCTTCAATTCGTTAGTGGTGAAGTGCCAGCCACTTGGCAGTTGCAACACAAAGAATGGAGCAGGAGGAGTAGGACATGGACGAGCAGGTGGAAAAGCAATGGCGAATATGGGATTGCAATTAAAGGTGGTCCCTCAATTTGTAATGCACGATGAATGCGAGCCTTGTGTGCGTGTATTTGTGGCTGAGCTGACTTCGTGTGCAGGGGTATGGTTGTATGGTCTAATTAGTACATAACTGTATTCCAGTATATAAAGTGGAGGAATGGTGTCAAAACATCGCAGAGGGAGCCCCATCCAAATTCAGATAAATTCAGCTAATGCCAACTAATAACAGCCAATTAGTTCCAGCTTCGACCATTTTCCCCTATCACCATACTTTAAGATTTGAGCAAACCAATTTTATTTATGCATATTTGCAAAATACTTTGATTGCAGATTTGATTCAAGTGCTTACAACGGCTAAATAGGTTAGAAAACTTAAAAATTAAATTTATTTATTTAAATATTTAGTTTAGATTTCTAGTTTAGTTTTGTTTTTATTCATAGGCAGTACTAAAACCGCAATTACTATATATAATGTAATGTTAAGTGATTAATAAGTTTCGTGGTTCAACTTCTTAATTACTGAATAAATGCTAAACAATCCCTACTTCAACTAAAATTTTGCAACGTTCTGCTTAAGCTCCTTATTAAACCAAACCCCCACCGTTCAGGATCCCCTTAAAATTGTTGAACAGATGTCTCCATTATCGCAGCTCTCCTCAATCGGATGCTGTGGCCAAGGCTCTTAACGTTTTTGCACTGAAAGGCGACGCCACGCCCCCACTTTTGGGTGGTGGTGTCCTTGGGAGTTTCGCCAGTCAAATTTCATTGTTGGCACAACTCGTTGCATACTTTCGGGCAACACTTGCGAATGAAAAGCTCTTCAGAGTGAATTTCGCAGCTGCAACTCGCATCCAACTTGGTAAATGGGTAAATGGGGGGGGAAGAGGATGGGGATGAGGATGAGGAGCAGAAGGTGGTGGTGAAGTGCTGCTAGCCTCGCTGTGCCAACTGCATTACGGAAATCCTAATGCGGCCAACAAGCGTTTAATGTCCTGCCCGGCAGTCATTAAGCTGGAGTGAGAAATGTTGAAATGTTTAAAAGCTTTTCGCCAACTCTAGCTACAGCTGCAGCTCCTCAGCCAGCAGCCGAAAATAGCCAACTTACTGTGCTTTGGCTGGCAATAAATTTCAGTGGGTTGCCTGGAGTATTTAAGTAGGCGACTGGGCTGCCAGCGAGCAAACACTAATCTAACATCAAGCCATAGCTGCAAGAAAACTTAAGTGAACAGGGGAAAATTATTTGAAGAGTTTTTCGTTACCCATTCTTTGTTGATATATAGGTTTTCAAACTGTACATTCATAAATCTATTAAACAAAAACTAAATGCGTTACATAGTTTATCATTTTAAGGATTAAAGTTGATTTTTAATGTTGTGTACCTTGTTAAGCTTTCAAGGCATTTCTCTTTTCTTTTGATTATTTGTGCAACTGCATGAGCACAATTAATATGGCTTTGATTTGCACGAAAATCCAATTATTACTTTGATTTTTATGCCAAAGAGATCAAAATATAGCGATAAACCCTTAACTTCTGACTTCTTTGTTGGCTTATTTTCTACGGTGTGGAGCTGAATTACGACAGAGACTTTTATCCATCTTGCCGGCTTTGTTTGGTGTAGTTTATGCCCTCATTGACTGCCCGCGGAGCGAAAGGCGAAACGCAAGTAAGTAGGCAACACTTGTCGGGCTTCCACCCTTGGCCATATCTCCCGACCCTTAGTTCCGACTCCATTCCCCCTCGGGCCATGTTCATTGTCAACCTGCTGGCGGTTGCTCAGATGGTGGCTCTGGCTGTTGAGGACCGCGCTCTCCTTGCCAATGCAATTAAACGCGACTGCGGTCCCGGCATGGTTTACTATCCTGTCCCGTCCCGTCCTGGCCGTATGAAACTCAATTAGGAAAGTTCACCAGGAGCGAAAGCAGTGAAGTCGGGGAAGAGTGCCAGCCACAATATGAAATTGGTGCACGTTGGCTTCATAATTTCATTATGAGAGCGCCGTGCAAAGTGCAAAATATACGAGTCTGACGGAATACAGGAGCCACTGTGGCGGGGATGTCGATGGGCGTGGCAGGAGCCCCCAAGCCATCGGT